TTCAACTCTTTGCTTGCTTTCAATCTTATTTTCACTCAGGGAATCCTCACCCAAAATCAGCCTCCCTCCTCAACTCCTTCACCCAGTTGATAATCCCAAGATCTTCCCTATTATTTTTATCCAGAGAGGCTCCCATTCCTTCCAAAACCCTTAACAGCTAACCCAGTTTCTCATTCTTGGCTTGTTCCCTGCTCCCTACCTCTTGACCTCACGGTTCTCTCACAGCACCAACCTCCCTTCCCATGCTAGCATCAACACAGTAGGCTTTACAGTCTCCTATCCATCTTTGCAATGCATGAAGACCACAGCTCTCTTCAGAATTCTTTTAAGGACTCAGTAGGCTGAATTTAAGAAATAAAGTTTGCCAGACTGCAGCCTGACAGACATAGCTAAGTCAAGTTGGACAGCTAAGTCATTTTTTTTCTGTTATGTTTGTTGTAGATTTCCAACCCTGGGATAGTATTAATATATTTTCATAATACTCGTTAAGCGCTCTAACCTTTTCTCATCTGTGAGAACTCTACAGTCACACAGTAAATGTAAGAACAGAGAAAAGCTTATGAAATATCATCAATGAGTAGAATAACATTGGCAAAAGTATAGCAGCAGGACTCTTAAGAAAAGATGCTGCTATATATCTTCTTGTGCAATTATATTCTGTACTTACCTTGTAACAACATTGTCAACTTAAAGACATATGCCACTGTAAGTCTACAGTGGTAGTAATAACTGAGTACATTGACAATATTTTCAGTGAAAACTAAACACAAAATGTCCCTCCCCTGACATCACAGTTAAAGGATTAAGTATGAATAGACAGAGCTAGAATGAACTATGTTATCACTAAGACAAGCCTATCATAGCAACGTCTGTTGAGAAGTATCGTACTTTCAAATGCGAACAGCAACAAGGAATATTGTGAACCAGATCAGCATGCTTTATTGTATTCACCTATAAATGGTCACCTACAAATTGTCTTTGTACGAGGAGAATATATAAAGTTTACGAAGGTTTTAAATTTGTTACTAGTCTGGTATTTGCCAAAAGTGAATGGTCTCTATTTAGCACACTGGAGTGGTGCAGGATCAGTCACTATACAGGACTGCTTTAATGCCCCCTAAAACCTAAGACAAGGCAGTTCTCATTGAAAAAGACAGCTTCACAGCCTTCTAAATTTTACTGGAAGGGCTGACTTTTTCAAACAGTTCAGCTTGCTAAAACTTCCCCAGGACACCACATTCTCTCCTGCCACTTATATTCTCCTCTCTCTCCTCTTATCCACCTCTAGTCCTCCTCTGCTGGTGATGAAAACGTAAAAGCAGTCCCCACCTCGCACTGAACAGAAGATATTATGCTGCCCAAATCAACATAAAGGAGACGTAACAAAACCAGAATTGCACCTCTATTATAAGTGTTACAGTTATTTTTAATACTAATTCTATTCTACTTTCTATTATCTCTACTAACCTCTTTAAAACTCAAAAATAATTTATTTCCACCTACTGATTTTGTAATTTCCATTCGACAGAAATTGATTCCCTTGTATCCCTTTGTCAGATCCAGTTAAAATTAATACATTTTTGATTTGTTTCCTTTGAGCCTTAGCAAGATCAAAGATGATAACAGAGCTCTGAGAATCTTGCAAAATTTGTCACTTAACAGCCTGATAGCAGAAGGTATGTATTCCGATTTTTTTTTTTTTCCCAACAACAAAGGACTAGATGTATAAATGGGTGAAATCTTCACCTAATTCAAGACATCGTACCTAATTTAGTTTCACTCTCCACTGCACTAAAATGGATCTATAGTGTATTATTATTTAAAATTCTATACATTTTCTCACAAGGAGACAGAAATCCACTCATGTCTTCACAAAGCCATGTTGTACCATTAAGATACGCGTCCAGTAAAAGTTTGGAAGCAAGTCTGCCCTGTGAAGAAGAGAAGATTCTGAAGAATCTGATGAAGAGAAATAGACTCACTCATTATCACTGTTTGGAAAAATTTCCCAATGAAAATATCCAGGATGGCAGGCAAAACTGGTATACATAAATGTCAGATTTTACTGTCATACTTGTATGCAGGTAGAAACTGAAGTGACCACAGATGAACAGGATCCTCAGTACCTAAATAATTTTGGAACTTTGTACTTCTCGTATTGAAACTCCAGTCTGCTCTGTCATAGCACAGCTAAAAAAAAAAAAAAATAATGTGCTTTTTCATGCAGCACTACCTTTGTTTATTTGTCAGTTTAGATATTGTTTGTGAAAGCTTCTATTGTCTTTGCTTCTACAGATACACAGTGCTTTGTCTGTAAACTACATCTACTGAAAATGGAAATGTCCTGCTTGTAAGACATAAGAAGAGAATGCCACGTTTTTTGATCAACTCTTAAAAACAGTTTTATCTATCCTGGCAAATCAAAGACAGAAAATGTATGAATAGTAAACATTTATCATGGATAGATAATTGATTTTGCATTAAGAAAACTTTGTCTTTTATGATTCATGTTTGTGTTCTGGAATGGGATATCCAAATAAGCAAATCCAGATAATTCTGTGGAACAGCCATTCTTTAAAGCTTGCAGAACATAATGTATTATTTACTTAATTCCAGAATATTGAATAATGTGCCTTAATTGCCTTGGTATTTCCAGTATCACTCAGCGTGAAGCATCTCATTGGTCAACATCCAGATGACTGCAAGTTTATCTCCCTTATATTGATCAGTGTCTTTTAAACTGATCTTAAACTATTCTTAACATCCAGCTGTGAATAAACAATTGCAACTTGCAGTTTTTGATTGGCCTACTGAAGAGCAGGCACTATACAGAATTTGAGGATTATCTTCAATTAACAAACAATGAAATTTAATATTGAGTAGCAACTTGAAAATGTTTTCTAAAAAATGGCAAAGCAAATACTTAATGAGAGTCCATTGAAGTACCTGTTCTTTCCTATTTTGAATAGTATGTATTGTAGAAATCATAAAATTCTCAGGATAATGAAGGTTATTAAGTAAATGTTTTTATGTGTTACACTGGCATTATCTTGTGTAACTTCACTAATTTACAAAGATTTGTACTAATATAGCTGAAAACATCTTTGCATTACAAATTTTTGTTTTTCAAGAAGGTAAAATACTGGCTCAGCTTTGAGTGAAAAGTCTTTAATACAGGAAATCTAATATCCTTGAAAAATACATGCTGGACTCTGGCAGCATGAACTGATACATTATACTGGACTCTTTGCACAGGTGCAGAAAGGGTGGTCTCCACTTCCCTCCACCCGGAATTTCTCATTTCTGGTACAGAAATTTCTTATAATATTACTTGATTTTAAGATATTTATCATTTAGTCTTCATTATTTTTTACATTGAATGATATTTGGGATTTAATTAACAAATATTTAAGCAAACCTGACATGATCAAATAGTAGAAGGAAGGACTAGGTGGTTGTGTTTTTAAGGTGCCAGAGTGCTAGGTCCAGTTCCAGCAGTGGTACTACTCTCTTAACCTGAGACATAAATCCTTTCAGAAACAGAGTTAACTCTCTCTCTGTCTATCTAAAGCCCCAAATTTTTCAGGGATAAGTGTATCTTGTAGTGACAGCAACTCTACATGTCACAACTGTAGAAACAATAACTTATGTCTAACAAAAAAATAATAATACTGATCTTCCATGAGCATGCGCAGAGGGAAACAGAGGAATCTGACAAGGTTTTGGAATACTGTACTACTTATTCTGTGTGTAAACGACTCTTTACCACTTATTAGAGCAACAAAACTAGTGAAGAGTTTAGAGAACTTGTCCTATGAAGAGCGGCTGAGGGAGCTGGGACTGTTTAATCTGGAGAAGAGGAGGCTGAGGGGAGACGTTATTGCTCTGCACAATTACCCGAAAGGAAGTTGTAGGGAGATGGGGGTTGGTCTCTTCTCCCACGTTATGAATGACAGGATGAGACGGAATGGCCTCAAGTTGCACCAGGGGAGATTTAGGTTAGATATCAGGAGGGTTGTGAAGTATTGGAACAGGCTGCCCAGGGAGGTGGTGGAGTCCCCATCCCTGGAGGTGTTCAAAAACTGTGTGAATTTGGTGTTGAGGAACATGGTTTAGGGACCTTGACAATGCGGGGTGAATGGTTGGACTCGATGATCTTGAAGGTCTCTTCCAACCAGATGATTCTATGATTCTATGATTCGAATAAATCTATTCAGCTGCATATAGGAACTGCATTTGGCACTACTTCTCATTCTACAATAATAATAATAATAATAATAATTTTTTTCTTCATTTCATGAATGTTTCTCTCAATGTTCTTCCCATCAAAATTATTTCTTTTCACCAGTTTTCCCATTTTTAAACAGAATCCTCTGACTAAAAGCATGTCATGTGTGAAAAGAAGCTCCATGGGAAAAACATCAAATGAACAATACAAACGTGAAGTGTTGTGCTACTCCTAAGCTGAGCCTAATTGTTTACAGAAAATGTTCTGTACCAAAAAGACCGGAGACGACTACTGTGGTTCAATTCCAATCAGAGTTAGGGTAAGCTTATGCAATTTCAATCAAAATCAGAATAGAAAGCTGTATAAGTAGCACTCTCTCTTGCCTCCTCCTACCAACCCCTCACAATTTATGTGTAATACCTGTATCCAAACAAACATATACAGAAAACATTTCATAAGAACCTTGAATCTATCATAAGGAGACATCTGGGTGTTGAAACAACACACTAAATAAGAGTGAGGCACTGAATTCCCTTTGAAAGTTTACAGCCATCTCCACTGTCCATCTCTCATTAAAAAGACTGAAGGGCTGCTGCTTGACTCCAACTCTCAGAGACTGAAAACGAGAACAAGAAAGCTCCAATATCAAACCATTCAGGTTCTTCGAACACATGAACAGAGTCAGCTCAAGTATGGCCATCCAGGAAAGGTAGCAGAATGGTTAGGAAATTATATTAACAGAGCAACAAGAAGAGAGTTTACTTCCCCTCACCTTTTTCTTCATTTTCACATTTTTGAAAATTGCATGAACTCTCCACGTTTTGGCAAACATTGCTCCAAATGCAGTTGTGTATCCCACTGTTAGAATCCATGTTCGGACCTAAAAATAGATATATATATAAAAAAGACAAAGCCGTTTAATTTTCAGTCGACAATGTGGATATCATCATTTCAGTCAAGATCTTGAGAAAAAAATACTCAAAGAACTTCACAAAAATGTTGACATTTCAGAATTGTCTCACTCATTGTTTTCTTGCTATTTTTTGTCCTCTGTCCATTCCCTCTCCAAGTATTGCATATCTGGATGCTGAATTAACAATCTCTTCCATATATAAAAACACAACATACTTAGAATATTGTGCATTTTTTTTTCACTTTTATTGTGTTTTGTGCAGGCAGAGGAAGGAATTAGTGGAGGAAAACAAGAAATTGAGACTGTAAAAACTACCCAAGGAACCAATATTACCAGCAACATTTTGAACAGAAATTTACAGAGAAGTAGAGATGTTATTCAGACAAATTAAGAGGAAATTGTAGTATGTGAGGTATGCAGACCTTGAGCATTTTGGAAAGATAAGAAAAATTGACCTTAAAATTATCATATAGGGAAAAATGGCAAGATAGGAATATAGTCTTTGTGGACAAGGAATATAGGCCTCGGGGACAAGATCTGAATCAAAGATAATACCCACAATATGGGTCTAAGAAAAAGGAGATGGTGAGCTTAGACAGAATGATGTGAGTAATGGGACCTTGAGCTGGCCACATCTTTGACATAGAGCTATCTAGACATTTTCCTTATAGCAAGCTTCCTAGAGAAAACCAAATGATTTTTAAATTAAAAAAGACATGTTATCTTTAGAATGAAAACTAGAATGACTTATTTTTTAATAGAAAAAAACTCACATTGACCAGGGAAGACAGAACACATGTTACAAAAGCTTTTTGTGCAACTCCCCACCTGCCCATAGCATCCTTGTAGGTAGGTCCTCACTTTCAGTCTTGGTTTCAGCTAAGCCTGTGACTTTCAGAGTTACAGCAAGCTCTGCACAGGTTCCCCTAATTCCTTGGAAGTTTCTGGTTTTGTTACTCTGGATGTCTGTCTGTGTGAAAGCTTGTCTGCCCTGAACAGACTATTTTCTTCCCCAAAGAGGGACCGGAGACTACAGAGCGTAGCAGGTGGAAGTCCATGCGAGAGGCACAGCAGGGAGCTGGAAGCCTACAGCTGAATCTGAGAGCCTGAGAAATCACGAGGAGGTGGAAACAATCTCCTCCTTCCTCTAGAAACTCCACCTGGGCCAGCTGTCAAAAAGGGAGACTGCACAAATACAGAACAAAGAAGTAAAAACAAAATGCACTGTACGTTGCAGATGGAAAAACTGAGGGAGAGACAATGGCTAAAGACAGGCAAGGCAAAGCTAGAAAAAGGGAAACCAAGCCTTCTTTTGGCCTTGTGCACCATGTATCCTTGGCCAGTAGAGCTGTTTTGTGATATTAAAAAAATCTGATTTGTGGAAACCAGGACATTCTAAAAAAATGATTTTAGAAAAAAGTCTTTAGATGATCTAAAGGCAATTCTTTCCATTGGAAACCACCCTGGTTTCACATCTGACTTCTGGAGAGTCTGGGATTTTTAATTTGTAACTTTAGGACATGCATATTGATGAGAAGCTAGGTGCTGTAGTAAGATGCAAAACTTAGGATGTGAGATCAATATTAGGAATAATCTAAATGTTTCACTTCTAAATACATGTTATCTAGTTTCTGCCTTTCCAAATATCTTGAGCATTTCCATATTTGTATTCAAAATGCAATTTTTTCCCTCCATATTTTCTGTATTATAGAAATTCTGATTTCCAGTAAGGATTAGTGATTGGGTATCCGGCGGAAAAGAAAAAAAAAGATAAGACTCACTCAAAAAACATTGATAAAGCAGTGAGAGACATAAAATGACTATGTTTTTTTAAAATAAATAAATAAATAAGATACGTATGGTCATTAATGGTGAATTAGTGAGAGAAAAGTACACACTGAACAGGCACCTTGGGTCTTGGCAGAGAAGCATATGGAAATGGACACCCAAAACTGTCTGAGAGGGCATATGCCCAAAACCTGATTACGCTGTGCACTATACAGAGACACACACCTCAAGTGTGCAGGAGTGAACTCTGGGAGTGTTGTCTCACGGGCATTACCAGGTTGCAGAGATACACACAAAGGTAGGGAGCCCACATTTCTTACAGGACAGGTGTATATAGGGGAACCTGAACCCCCAGAACAAAGGATGTGCTGGCACCCCATCCATCCTGTAAGCAGGAGGTGTCTGCATGTAGCTCAGTGTGTGTATTGGTTAGAAAATGTTGGGATTATGTACAGAAGACCATTTAGATATTTGTATGGATATATTAACATTTCATTGGCGTCTAATGTTGTGGTTTATCTGTTGCATTGCTGATATTGACCCTAAACATATAGTTCACTGACTAATTGTTAATCTTGTTATTAATAAAACCAGTAAATCAACTGCAATTAGATTCAAAATACGTGAGTTTTGCCACTTTGGGACATTCTTGAATGCTGCGTTGAAAAAGAAACCTACAACCAAATAAAAATAAGAATAGATATTTAAGTCAGCATAGCATTATTTTGAACCTAAATAGTTTCTCAAGTCTTTGCTCATTATCTGTTATCATACATTATGCTAATAACTTCAGTAAAACCACATCTAGATCAACTTTGAATGATTTAAAAAATACGTTTCATATCAACATGTTCCTATTAGCCAGTTACATCTTTTTTTGACTTCACATCAATTGAGCTGTGATAACCACACTTAGCATTCAATCTCTTCACTGCTATTAATAAGTATTCAGCTTTTCTGTGTACAGTTCAGTGATATATTTGGCAAACAGATACACGGTATTTTCATGTCTCTAATAAGACTCTGTTTTGTTCTCACTGAAAGAGTAATTGCCTCTTGGGAATAGTAATAAATTCAGTTATGCTCATAATATGTTGCTAACCTGATATTCAGAAAAGTGTTCTTTCTAACATGTTTGGTTCAAAAAGTTTTATGCATTCCTGATCTGGATTGTGGAAATTAGAATAATGTAACTATTGGTTGTACTGGAAATGTTCTAGCTTCAACAAACCAGAAGATTTTGTCAAAAGGAGATTGCTGTTGCTAAGAATGAGAGCGTAAGTTTCAGATGAAAATAAATTTTTAATTTTGAAGAAAATGACCTCGAAATTGTCTGCCATAATTCATTAATGCAGCCAGCAAAATGAAAAATTTAGAAAACAGCAAAAGCCTCTGAAATTCATATCTCTGCCCATTTATATTCTTAAATGTATTATACCTCCAAATCCCACTCATTTGAAAGAACATGATAAAAATAACATCAATAATTGGAGAGCATGACCATGATGTTATACAATCGATCTGTAATTCTTTCATGTTGGAATTTTTTAATGATGTGTTTCAACAGAAGAAGTTGAGGAAGATCAAGCTTTCTCCAGTACCCACTAAAAGAGCAGGAATTACACGTCCTTAAAAGATGGAAAACTTGTATTCAAATTCTTACTCCAATCTAGACACAAAACCTGAAAACATTCCCATGCTCCTATAGAAGGACAATTTGTAAAAAAAGCTACTGTTTATCTTTTTCTTAAAAGGTTAGGTGATTACAAAACTCCTCATGCCTTCACTGAATTTTAGGATATACCTTCAATTATCTGCTTCTATTTCTTGGTTAATTCTTTTTTTTTTTTAATAAGATGTTTTGACTAATTGAATATCTCTTAAAAAATTATTATTTTTCAATCATTCAAAGACAACTCACAAGTGTCAAAGGAAATAATATCGTTTGGTATAAAATAATCAAGTTTGTCTATGCAGACACCAAAATGCAGTTTCCTAGTTCACTTTTCTTTTCCTCCTACATTATTTTGGTTTAGTCTCTTTTTGAAAAAACTATGTATGTACCTATGATTGGAATTTGTGCTTTTTATAAATTACTTGATAGAAGTTCTTGCAAGTACATTACTTGTGACAACTGAAAAATCTAGAAATAATTCATTTAGTGGGCAACACAGTTGACTACCAAACACTGAAAGTGTCTCCACAAAAAACCAGACCATTCTGGGTCATTTTCCAGACTTGGAACAGATATGATGTTTATGCAAAAGAAATAAAAATCCACCTTTGTCAAATATTAATTTTTAAACAAATGTTGCAAGGTTCAGCTAAAGGGTCACTGCATTGATGAACATCTTGTAGGAGCATTTCTTTTCAACTTTCCTTTGCAACCTAAAGCCTGTTTTAAACCTATCCGTAAGGTGCTAAAGATATTTTATTTTTTTAAGTAAGACTATTCTTCCATCATATAATAAGCACTGATAGTTTAACAGCCTTATATAAAGTTACTTCTATTTGAATCATATTTCCTCTCAACCTTGAGCATTAGCTGGCTAGCCTACATTTTGAATATTGCTATTTGATATCTTCACACAAATCTATCCGTACCTTTCCCATCATCTTGATCTGTGAATGGTGAAGTGGTTACTATTTATATACATGTGTAACAGACCCACAAAGTTATTTGATATTACAACTCATTGTGAATAAAAGAAGCCATCTAATTGTGAACAATGTTAGTATGGGGAGATTAGTAAGTGGTGAAGGCATCAGAAACATCCTGAACAAAGAAGTAAAAGTCTCTCCTTGTTTAGATACCCAAAGAATGAAGCTTACAAAAAAAAAAAAATCTTTTTAGTACTGTTAACTTGCAGATAAATAACAATAATATTTGATTTTATTTCAAATAATGTATTTTAATACAATTACAATTCTATATAAAATTATAAAATCAGGTTATCTTAGAAAATGGACTGAATTGATGAAAGGTGAAAAGTTTCACTTTTAAAGAAGTTCCATTATTTTGTCATATTTGAACACCACTGCATATGCATTCAGAAGACCACATAGTCATGAACTGACAAGGAATGCCTAGGAAGGCATGCTCATGAAAGCAATAATAAAAATTTCAAGTGAAGTTGATCAAGAAAGTGATGTATGTTACTACTCTGTTAAGTTGAAAG